CCTTCTTTTTTTTTTTTCTAGGATATTTATTACCTTTAATTTTATATTTGTGAGTTTCACATGGGAGCAGACCTTGGACCCGAGGAAAGTGTTTAAATTGGCCACTGGACTTTGTCGGGCAGATTTAGTAGCCAGTGGTAGGAAAGGAGGATAAGAAACCGGTAGAAAATAAGTGGAAAAGGGGGGGGGGGGGGGGGGGGAAGTGTGTGTGAATATACACTATATTGCCAAAAGTATTGGGACAGACACCCCCTCCAAATCATTGGATCAAGCACCTAGGTATGCAGACTGTTTATACAAACATCTGTGAAAGAATGGGTTGCTCTCAGGAGCACTGTGAATTAAAGCATGATACCATGATAGGTTGCCACCAGTGCAATAAGTGCATCCATGAATTTCCTTGCTACTAAATATTCAAGGGTCAACTGTTTGTGGCTGAGTTGCTGTTGTTCCCAGTTGCTTCCACTTTATTATAATACCACTAAGTGGTAGGCCACGTAAAATGACAGAGCGGGCCAGCGCATGTTGAAGCACACAGTGCGCAGAAGTCACTGTCTGCAGAGTCAGTAGCTAAAGTCCTCCAAAATTTGTGTGGCCTTCAGATTAGCAAAACAGTACGTAGAAAGCTTCATGGAATGGGTTTTCCATGGCCGAGCAGCTGCATCCAGGCCTTACAATCACCAAGTGCAATGCAAAGCATCAGATGCAGTGGTCTAAAGCAAGCCTCCACTGGACTCGAGCAGTGGAGACTTGTTCTCTGGATTGATGAATCACACTTCTGTCTGGGAATCCGATGGATGTGTCTGGGTTTGGTGGTTGGCAGGAGGACAGTACTTGCCTGACTGTACTGTGCCAAGTGTAAAGTTTTGGTGGAGGGGGGATTATGGTGTGGGGTTGTTTTTCAGGTGTTGGGCTTGGCCCCTTTGTTCTAGTGAAGGGAACTTTTAAGGTGTCAGCATACCAAGACATTTTGGACAATTTCATGCTCCCAACTTTGTGGAAACAGTTTGGGGATGGCCCCCTTCCTGTTCCAACATGACTACACACCAGTGCACAAAACAAGTTCCATAAAGACATGGATGAGCGAGTTTTGGGGTGGAGGAACTTGACTGGCCTGCATAGAGAGCTGACTTCAACCCAATAGAACCACCTTGGGGATGCATTAGAATGGAGACTGCGAGCCAGGCCTTCTTGTCCATCATCAGTGTTTTACCTCACAAATGTGCTTCTGGAAGAATGGTCATACATTCCCATAGACACACCTAAACCTTGTGGACAGCCTTCCCAAAAGAGTTGAAGCTGTTATAGCTGCATAGGGTGGCCCAACTCAATATTGAACCCTATGGACTAAGACTGAGATGCCATTAAAGGTCATGTGCATGTAAAGGCAGGCGTTCCAATACTTTTGGCACTATGGTTTATATGAGTATCCTGAGCCAGCCTCAACAAGGGTAAGGTACATGTTTTATGTGCCTCTGGATACTCCAGCAGAAAAATGGCTGAAACAACTCTTGAGAATGGAGGCCTTGCAGAAGTCTCAGAATCTGGCCCTCCTGCATAACTAGTCGTTACAGTTCAGGGATTGTAGAAAATTGGCATGATGTGGCTGTCTCCCATGATACATTATAGAGCAAACTGTGAGAGCATCAGTCATGGGATCATAAGGCTCCTTATTAAGAGACGAACCCCTATACAATGCCAGAAAAATCCACCAGTTTAGAACTTCAGGCCATTAGGGATGTGGAAGAGGCCTAAGATAAACATTCTTGACAGCGTTTAACAGGATCAAATCTTGAGTGGTTTCTTTTATGTGAAACACCCCACGGGATACATAGTATGACCTTCTATCAATGCTGAAATTGGTACATGTAAGATCCTTATTGGGCGTTCTTGAGACAGTTTTGAAGGAGTGATGAGAAGAAGTCTCGGGGCATCCTGAAGCGTTCCACTTGAGGTCAGTAAGGGGAACAAGGTGAATGGAGCCCTATTGTGTCCAATTAGCTGAAATGCCAACCCAGTGGTATGGAAACTAGCCTTGAAGCCAGCATCAGCTTTGTTTTCCCTATCTTGAAGGTGCCTGGGTCCCATGTGTCTCTGTTGGCGAGAGAGTCAAAAGAATATTTTTTGTCCAGTCAGGTATTTGGAGAATTTCCAGAAAACTGCACAGGTCAGGGATTTGTGATGGGGTCCTGCAGCAGGAACAATTTCCCATTTTGTTTACACCTGCAGGTGAAAGGGCTATCCCCAGCAGTCAGATGCCCCAGCAGAACACGTGCCCCAAGAGTGGTTTAAGTGTACCCCTCATATGCATGGTGTGTCTAGAGATGACTGGGCGTAGTGAAATCTCAGCACCTTTGAATTCAAAAAAACCCTTTTCCCATTTTTTTTTTTTTTTTTTTTTTTTTTGTGGATAAAATGCACACAGCCTTGGATATTGCATGGTCTGTTTGGGGCGTTGGGTTCAATGATTTTTCCAGTGGTAAGTAGTTGCCTCAAAAGGAGGATTAAGTCTTTGTTCACACTAGTGCAATTTCAGATGTTGCTTGAGCTGCACAGAATCGCATGACAATGGAAATTACATTGTCTTCAATGGTGCTTTTCTGATTCCATGACAGTCTGTCATCTTTTTGGGAAATGTTTTGTTTGTGTTCCCAGATTTCAAAGCTGCTTCGGGTCTGTCAGTTTTGTGTACATGATTCTGGCTTTATGGCCTATATCAGCATTGCTCAGCTAAGAAGTTTGTGTCTTTTAAAGCCTATTGCTACTTGAGCTAGGAGGACCGTCTTCTGGATCCCGTTGTGTTGCTAACATCCAGCTTGCTGAAGCTGAGTGAGGCAGTGTTTCTCTCAGTCCAAGTTGGCTAGTGGACATGCCTGCAGTGCCTTTAGACATCAGAATAAAGGGTTTAGCTGTGCTGCTTGTAGGCTGTTAGGTGATTCATTGGCACAGAGCTCTCACTTCATGTCTTTATGTCGACATAGATGAACCATACTCCCAACTGACAGACATTTTAACCATTTTCTTCTCGATCCCAAACTAGTATAAACATTTTTATTTTAGATGCACAACAAATAGTGAAAGATGGATGGAAAGAAGACATGGGTATAAGTTTTTTTTTTTTTTTTTTTTTTTTTTTTTTTTTTTTAAGAGGTTTTAGTGACGTGTGTGTGTGGTGGTGTTTTTTTTTTTTTATTATTATTAAACAGTGACAGTATAAGGAAGTACATAAAACACTCTAAAAATGTGAGTCCCTAACAGGTTGGTTGCTACTGAGGACACAAATTCTAGAAATTAAAATTGACAAATTAGTTAGCAGTAGTTGGGAGGCAAGGAGATGTCCTGCCATGTGTTTGTGTTTTTTTCGTTTTGGGTAGAAAAGGGAAGGTGTAAAAACCCTGTCACTTTATTTTATTGCTGTCTTTGTCCTGTTAGGGATGTTTCTCTTCGCTTTCTGTCCCAGAGATGGAACAGAAACTGAGATGAAATTTTTACTAAGTAAAGGGAATTTTCCTCTTAGACAGTTGTCACCAGAACATGTGTCCCATTTGGAAGCATAGCGTTCTCTCCCATAGCAGTGGTTACCAGGACAACTAAAGTGCTGAACGCTTCTTCATTGGGAACACGGCAATAAAAACCTCCTGGATTAAAGTAGTTGTAAGGGTTGTGGTGTGGTTTTTTTTTTTTTTTTTCCCTCAATGCATTCTCTGCATTAAGGTAAAAAACAGTTTCAAAAGATTAACACTCTTACCTGAGCCTTACCTTGATCCAGTGCTGTGCCCATCTGCAGCAAATAATCTCTCTTCTCACAGGAGGAACCATTGGCTTCTGCTGCTGTCACTCAAAGCCTGTGAGCAGGGGGCAGGGCTGAGCCACGCTGTGTGTGTCTTTAGACGCGTTTAGCCTGCACATATGCCCCTATAGCAAGTGGTTTGCTATTGGGGGCACTCAGAAAGGAGGAGGAGACATGATCGCTGGCAGGGAACCACAGAAAATGAGGTTTTGTGCAAAACCATTGCACAGAGCAGGTAAGTAGCATATGTTTATCTTTTAAAACATTTGGGAAAAAAAAAGCTTTCACAATTGCTTTAAAGAAATAGATGTTTGCTGCCTGAATAAGAAATGGAGTGGTTTTTCAAAATCAGTTGTCACAAACCAGGAATAAAAGAGAAATATCCAATAAACACACTTGTTTTAGTGTGAAATGAGGGGGAAAATTACTTTTGAGAAGTGTCCTCTTGCTTTCTGTTTTGCAGGACAGAAAGTGAAGGGAAATCTCCCCAATGGGACTCCAAAACTGATATGGAATTTAAACATTCCTTACTCCACCCAAAAATAACAAAAAAAAAAGGTTGGCTTTAGATAGCCATTTAATGCCCCCCTCCCCCAACCTCCTCTCTCTGATGCACACTTGTGTAATGTAGTATGCGCTACATGTACCACGACTCTCTAGAACCTTCCTGGAGCCACCATAGCCACTCTCCAAAATCTTCTGCTTTTTTTGTTTAAATCTAGCACCTGTTCATTACAGCTCCACGGACTTCCAAGGGACTGCCTCAGACCATCCCTGGCATCTAGACACAGTCCCATACAAGTCTATGGGGCACTAATGAGCAGGCTCGGTCAGGACATTGAAGATTTCCACAGCTGCATGTAAACAAACAGCAGAACCACAGCCGTTTTGTATTGGTAAATTTGCATATGGTGGGGGGGTGCAACACGGATAAATGTGCTTTTTTTATTTTTTTTTTTTTTTTTTTTTTTTTTTTTTTATTTTGCACTTATCCTATAGCACAGGCTATGAGAAAATGTCCCCATAATGAGATTGAAGGTGTTAAGGAAAATCTAGCTAGTAGATGACAGTTAACTGGAGAAAATGAACAAAGGAAGACCTGACTGACTGATATTCAGAATAAGACATGTAAATCTAAAGAGATGCAGGGGGAAGTACCTGACCTTAGTCCTGTGTGTCACTGAAAGTATTATTGTCCTCTTCTCCTCAGTGTCTCAGTGCCTCTGTCCTTTTTGCTGCTCACAACCTGACATCGAACTCTACAGTGGATGCGGAGGGTCTGCAAAATTTCTGCCCTTCAATCCTCCAACAGTTGGAAACCCAGGCATGTCAAGGAAGCCCTGTCCCACAGAATGAAACCAGCGAAGAAGGGAGACCAAGCAGTGGCGAAGGTAAGGGGAGCTTTCCTAGGGTGACTGCTAAATGTCAAATTATTTTTGTGTTAATAATCCTAATTGCCCAAGTGTTTCTCGGACATCTGAGTCCGGATTGTGATGTTTTGAATTTGTATAGTACATTACTTCCTACTGCTTTTTATGTATTAGGAGTCTAGGAGATAACCAGCCAAGGACAGCTGTCCTCAAAAAAAACCAGCCAGCAAACATCCTAATAACTTGTGTCCTTGTAACTGCATTCTTTATCCTTAAACAATATCCAGCTTCTATTGTACGCTGACTTCTTTTGTCTTGATTTTTTTTTTCTAATTCTCCATTTTTTGTTTTTAGTTATAACCTCAATACACTTTGTTCACATTGCATGCAGTAAGATCTTGCCCAATTTAGCAAGTCATGTAGGCAGTGCTGTAAAATCTTTTTTTCATGTATTAAGTGTTGTTTTTTTTATTTTTCTTGTAAGCATTCTCATTCTTCCAGCTGTCTGTTGAAATGGATGCAAGTTTATTTCTTGACCACCATTTTCGTAGTGCCCTTAGACCTCCTCCTGCCAGTTGAGAAGGCAGGAAAGGTTAGTTGCCATGCAATGTGAAAACCTGTGCATGCTTCACAAGATCTGGCAGAGAACATAAGAAATCTGCAGCTTGGTGGCAAATGAATTTAAAGAGTGTGCAGTATATTTCTGTTACATTGTTCTTTATATGTTTTACTCATTTTGTGCAGTTATTTATTGTGCAGTGCATGGTGTTTGCATGCCATCACGTATTTGTAATCTTTATCCCTGCTACTCTGTCTTCTTGTGTTGTCTATGTGTGCATCCCTAACAGTGTCCCTCACAGTGTGCTCTTGTTTGCAGTCTGGGGTTTTGGATTCGTGGCAGTCACCGTGATCAGCCTGTCCTCTCTCCTGGGTGTCTTCTTTGCCCCATGCATAGAGAGGCCTGTCTTCCGACGAATGCTTATCTATTTCATTGCCCTGTCCATCGGCACGCTGCTGTCTAATGCTCTGCTGCAGTTGATCCCAGAGGTGCAGTACCAGCTTTCACCACAGAAGGCGCTCATGCCATTTAAAGAATATTCACATGCAAAATCATTAAACATTTCTAATTGCGAATTCTAAACCACATTACACCAACCGTTTTCTCACACCTCAATTCATCAGATGGCTTTAATCAGCTGTCTTATACAAGATGTCCTAATTTTCTCTCTGATGTGACTAGATTGCCTTCCAAAAAGCAGTTTTTTGGGTCCAGTGTTTGTGAGTTCTCAGGGTAAATAAACAACTCTGCCTAAAAAGAAAAAAAATAAGTATTTGTAGCTAAAAAAAGAATAAAAACTCAAGAAGGAAAACATAGCATTTAGTGACAGTTTATTGGCGATACAATGGGGCCTAATCTGAATTCATCCAGGATGGTCTGTGCATATTGTAGGGTATTTTCAGGTCTCAGAAGTTTCTGCCTCTATTCCCCCTTGTCCTTGATGAGCTGACAGATCTCTTAATTGAGTTCCGGTTGGTTATTACGTTCTACCCATTTCAATCAAAATGAACGTGCTTCACCAGGTTCTGTTTTATTGAATGTCTGCAGCATATATTGGTCTTAGACCTGTTATCGTGTTAATTTTCTCTCCTTTCAGGGTGTAATTGAAGGCTGCGGATTCCGCTGTGTCAGATTATTTTTTACTCTCTGTTGCAATTTTGTGGGGGAGAGAGTTTGGCACAGCTGAATAAGCAGTATCTGCTTGTTTATAACTTGCTCAATTCTATGTGGTTACATATGGGAAGATTTCTTCTGTAATCTTGTTTTTAATATGTTATTTCACTGCCAATTCTTTTGCCAAAGGCTACATTTATACCTCCATGTTATGCGGTTGATAAAAATAAAACCCCACTTGCTTCATCTCTGGTGCAGTTTGCAGAACGATGGGATGAATGCCAATGTAAAATGCTCCACACTGATACCACACTGCATTAAGAACCGCAGAGGTGTCACTGTAGCTTTAACTCCCTGTATCTGGTGTTCATTCATCAGGCAGGACATAATATGGGACCACTGAGGGTCACTGCACACCTAAAATGAGCACTTAGTGCTAAGATTTGTAGAGGAAGGTATTTTGCTTGTTCAGGCTTATTCATGAAGAGGTACTCGGGTCAGTAAAAACGGTAATTTAAGGCCTATTGTAGGTATTATGATCCTTAATCCTCTGTTATTTCACCAAATCACAATTTAATGAGTTGTATTTTTCCAAACATTGTTTTAGCCCACAAAACCACAGCCTCTGTTCTGTTTGGAAAATTGATAGTTAATTGGCCATCAAGAATTTAAAGGGTAACCCCACTTTTGTTGGAAAAATATTGCAAATAAAAGAAAAATACTTGGCATATACAACTGCAAAACAAGCCATATTGTAATTTTTCATAAATTACATTTTCTTTTTAATCTTCAGCACTGCAATTTTTCTTGAAAATTCAATGTGGCAACCAGGAGGCAGTCTGTGTACAGATCTACTGCTTGTTTGATTGTTTTACTGATTTTCCAAGAAATCTGCACTAAGATACATAGCAGATTTGGGGAATCCTTGCATTTTATGCAGCAAAATTATTGTTTTTGTGAGATACTACCAAATGGTTAATCACATCTGTGTTTTTGTTTTTTTTTAAGCAAATGTGGAGTTACGCTTTAAATTTTAAGTGCAGATTGTGTGTTTGTGTGTAAATTTAAACTTTTTTTTTTTGTGAACTTTTTGGTAAAAGTGAGCAGCAGTTTTATGTGCAAGAACTTTTCCTATAGACATAGATTCGGGTGTGCTTGTACTGAGAACATCAGTTTGCTCAAATGAGAACATTAAGCGGTTTTAAACCCAAAAGCAAATATTTATTATTTTTGCAGCTTACCAATTCTTTGATGTGATGGCTGCATTTATTTTCTTTTTTAGGCTTGCTTGCTTACTTCTATTTTCATGCGATGATCCAGCCAGCACGTTTAATTTTTAAAAGCACAAGCCCACCAGCAGAATGCATCAGTTTGCACGGATGAGACAAACCACTTAACCTTGGCAGGAGTGATTTTTAAAATAATCAGCTTTTATTTATTCACCTTTATCTGAAAAGGAAAAAAAAGTTTGGTTACAATAATCTGCTTTTTATTTATGTATTGTTTTGTTTGTTTATTCCAAAAAGGGAAAAAAACTGCTCCCTATAACTGATATAAAGTTTGAGCTGGAGTTTGGCTTCAATTTGTTAGTGTATCTAAATCTGCTAGTCCATCTAACACTCCCCTTCCCCAGACTAACAGTGCTGCTCTCTGCTGTGCTCCTGCATCCAAAGTGGGGCACTCTAATGCAGGAAGTGGCCATATCAACAGGTGAAAATCAAGGGGGGGAAAAAGTAAAAGAAAAGAAACTGATGCAGCCACTACATCTGTGATTGGTAATCTGAAATCTAATACATTTTTGTTTCGGGTTTAATACCACTATAAGGCTTAGAATCCTCCCCACCGCTTCCCCCAACCACCACATACATATACACACTTGCACACAATTTTTTTACACTTCCTTTCAGCTGTAAAATAAACAGAACTGGATGGATACTGTGGCTGCAGGAGCTCATTTGGGAAATGGACAAACCCCAGAAGGTTTAGCTAACTACTAAAATCATTTGATTTTTGGCAGCTATACCTATGACAAGACTCATGACCATTTGGGCTCCTGAAGGCCTGGTGCATTATAAAACTAAATTTGCTCAGTTTACGTGTGCTGGAGACCCCCAATAATTTGTTGATTGTGATCATACTGATATCTATGAAATTAAATTACTGATCACCTTTTATTCTTTCTCCCCACCTCTGGTATAATTTTGTTTTTTGTTTGTTAAATTATTTGTCTAACTCTCCTGTCCCCCCCCCCCCCCCCCCCATCTCTATTGTTTCTTCCTTTTTATCACCTGTCCTTTCTTGGTCCCCCTCTTCTTTCCGTTCAGTGTGGGGTTATGGATTTCTCTGTGTCACCGTTATTTCCCTCTGCTCCCTTCTGGGGGCTGGCGTGGTTCCCTTCATGAAGAAAGCCTGTTACAAGCGTCTTCTCCTCTTCTTCATTGCTCTCGCCATTGGGACCCTCTATTCCAACGCTCTCTTTCAGCTCATCCCCGAGGTATGGGGGACCTTGTGCAAATCTGAGACTTGGTGTGTGTGTGGGTGTTTGTGGCACACTGTAGTGATTAGTGCTCTTGTGTGTGTAATTGGTGTGCTACGAAATGGGGAGGGGGGTTGTTGAGGATCCCTTTGCACAATTCAATGCACAGTGGGCAATTTATGGTTTTAAAGCTCCTCAAAAGAATACAGAGCCATAGGTTGCCTAAACTTGCATAGAGAATAACTGTTATACATCTTTAAACAGAACCTGTCATGACATCGGTTATGCAAGGATTTGCATGTTTAGCTTTAAATTATTACAATTGTGTAGGCTGCTTAGGAGAGATTTGGGTTTTCCCCTTCTTTAGCTTTTACTTTTCTGAGCGTACTTCTGTGGCTTAAGAACCAAGGGTCAGAGGTCATCTAACACCTGAGTGTAGTTTCCTTGTCACCTGACTGATCCTAAACACCGTTTCCCTGTTCAAGCAAATACATAAGTGTTAATAGAGTCCTCTACTTAAAATAAGCATTAAAAGCTACAGAATTCTGTTATGCAACCTGACAGATGGTGAAGGAGTTCAAGCAGTTGAGAGAACAGCAATAATCAAAGTCCAGATGACCTCCAAACTCTGGCTCCAAAAAAGTGAATGAGTCAAACTACATAAGCGGGTAACTGCAAAAGTCCTTAAAGCCCAACTCCAGGAAACTTAAAATTACCCATCAGTGGGACTGTGCACGCACTGCAAGGGTTAATTGCTTGTTCAGGTCTAGAGGACATAGAAAAGAAGATCTATTTACTTGACCCTCTGCTCCTGCTAGACCAGTCACAGTGGTATCTTCTGCCCTATGCTGCAGCAGTCTAAGGTCCTGATGTCATTAACACCAATGAAGGGTCCAAAGCTCTGCTTCGAATGTGAAGATATCGAGGAATAGTCCACCACCTTGGCATGGGGGAATGCCATCTGCCAGGGAAGCCAAAGATCAGGTAGGTTAAACTCCCCTAAACTAAACCAGCAGTTAACCCTTGCAGAGTGGGCACAGCCCCACTCCTAGGAATAGTTTTAGGTTTCCTGGCATGGGGCTTTAAGCTTCTATCATTAAGACCAGGGTATTCAGGTTCTTGCATAAAGCCAATCATGACTGGTTCTAGTTAAAATTAACCTGTTACTTTGTACTACACCTAATCTTGCAAAAGCAGAAGGTAGGGTAGGTTGGATACCACCCTTTTATGTGTCTGTATTTGGCACAGTAATGATGGGTCTGGTGTATTTTTGAAGTATGACCTCCACATGTCCTTTTTTTTTTTTTTTTTTTTTGTATGCTGTGCCCTTCCGTATGCTTGTCACCATGGCAATGCCCATGCTGAAGGAGAGTTAGGTGTGACAAGCACTTGTGTTCCTCTGGGAGGCAAGTATGAAGAGAGGATGGGCTAAAGCTGAAGAAGGAAAGACTAGTTGGATAGATTTACTAAGACTGGTTCACTCAGAATCTGGTGCAGCTGTGCATGGTAGCCAATCAGCTTGTAACCTGAACTTGTTGAGTTAAGCTTTGGCAATAAAACCTGGAAGCTGATTGGTTTCTATGCAGAAGTGAGGCTAATTTTGCACTCCCCATGAGTTTTGTTTCTCCATTGGATTTCATTTTGTAGCCTCCTTTCTCATCTCTGTAGCTTCTTGGTGTCTGTCCTATATGTCCATTCATATGCAGACTTCCTAGCTTTGTGACATGCAAAAAGGTGTACATTTACTAGTTCAGGGAAATCTTAACTTTTAACACTTCAAGAAATACATTAAAACCATCAAATAAAATAAAGAAGGCTGGTATCCAGTTGTCCCTACCATTCTCATTGTTTGTTTAACATTGTACCTTCTACTATATAGTGACAGGCTCCCTTTAGTATCTCTTAGTCACTCTGTAGCTTTTGACGCTGGATTTCTTTGCATCCAACTGAACCGGTTTCTCCATATACCGCAGGCCTTTGGCTTTAATCCTTTGGAGGATGCCTACATATCAACCTCTGCTGTGGTCTTTGGGGGATTCTATCTTTTCTTTTTCACTGAGAAGATCCTAAAAATGCTGCTGAAGCAAAAACATGAGGTAACCTGCCAGCGGTAGTAGCACAGTTATATATTTTGTTCTTGGTAATAGAAGCAGATTTGTAAAGGCAGATGAGATATATATATATATATACTGAACTTATGAAATGATATACAGTAAATATTCAGAATTTTATTGTTGTGTTGTCTTGTACATGGAATGTGTGTACTTGTAAATACCAGTTTGTTTTTCACGCTGTATCTGAACCTGAAACATCAGCTTAAGTGCCAGGAGTCAAAGGTCACCAGAAGCTTGACTTTTGCTGCCTTGTTACTTAGCTGACCTTGCACACTGTTTTCCAACCAATATGTATTCCTTTTGGGCCAGTAAGTGGAGCTTTAGTGTGTTATGTTTTTTTCTTTTCTTTTTTTCAGTTGTTGCTTGGCCCCTTTTTTAATGCAGTGCTCAATAGCTGAAGCTAATATTTAAACAAGTTTATGAGCAGAGCCTTGTTGGGCTACCCTTGCAGGTGACCACTACTTTGACCATGGAAAATGCTGAAAATATAATCCCCCCCCCCCCCCCAATGTGTTGTAGGACTAGCATGATCACACAATGATCTTACATATATTTCACTGTGCGTACACCTTTTCTGGTGATTTTTGGGTAGGTGGGTGTCTTACTGCCAAACATAGTTGGCTGCTTTTTTATGACCATGTTTTACTTGTGGAGAAATCTACATCAAATGTTCAACTGCAGCCTATATCCCCTACGCCATTACTGTCTCATTCATGGAAAACCTCCACCTTTTTTGTTTTCTAAAAGAGCTTCTTTGATGGCTTGAAACTTGAAGGAATCTCCATCCTGGAAATGGGGAAGGGGGGGTTACTGGAATTGGTCCATACTGAAGTTGGATAGTTTGCCTTTGTACTTTCAAAACCTGCTTGGGGATTATTAAAACATAGCTAGTAATTATTTAAGATCTGCACACATTCACCAAAGCTCTTATGCAATACAACCTGTGAATAGGACCTGTTATTCTCTGTGCAGTTGGTGACCTCGTATTTTCAGCAACCTTTTATTTCTTTAACTTGGAAACAGGTGCAGTTTTTCCTGGCCAAGCTACATTTGTAAGAATGTGACTCCTTACCATTTAGTTAGTGATTGTCAAACAAAAAGCTAATGGAACAGGAAAAACAAATCGTGCCCCTACACTCCGTAAATTGTTGCCAAGCTTGCAACTGTTTCAATAAATATTTTAATTGAAACAATGTAAATTTGTAGCTGGTCAAAGCTCTGTCCACCCACAACTTGTATTCTCCAGATGCTGTCAGTTGACTGAATCAGTTACTTATGGGTAACTTTACATGGGTGTGAAGATCTGAAATTTTTGCACTGCGGCTGTCTGCAGACCTCTGTTCGTCACTACATGGCACTATTGTAAAGATCAGTGGACCACAATTTTTTTTTTTTTTTTTTTTTTTCCTACTTGTCTCTAAATATGGATCCTTCAGAAACATCTGTTCAGGGTAAAGATGAATGGCAGCTCACAGGTGTACGATTGGTGCAGAAGAACAGGAATTTAGATTTTTGAGCTTTAATTCTGTGTAAAGGGCAGCCAAAATCTCCTGAGAACTGTGGTGACCAGTTCTCCCCACTTGCATTCCAAGTCCAGCACATAAGCTGCAGCTATTACAATGGGGCCCCACCCTACCTATTGTAATGCAGCAGGAACAACCAAACTCCCAGGTTGACAGCAAGGCTGAGGATAAATTAGTAATTTCTTTGTTCTTATTTTGCTGGCTGAACAAAAACAAATTCCTAAATCCACACAATCAAGATGGATAGTGGAATCCTCCCTGCTGGGACATTGTTTTTCTCACACTGGGATTTGCCCAGTATACACTGATCAGTGGCTGCAGCCAATGGCAACATTTTCCAACAAGCCTGTTTTGACAGAAGTCAGTTAGATCATCTTCTGTCAAGCAGGAGTAGCCACACATGGATCAAAATTTGGCTGGTCCTTGCTGAACTGGTTGAATTTTGATCCAGTAATGTTGTAGCGTTGCATGCTAAAATAAATCAGTAAGAATGCCTCTAGTTCTTGCTGCATGTCCTATTCACTGGGAAAATTAAATAAGCTATCTTTCTGGTCACTACAGAGTTGTTCACTTTTGAGGACAATTTGCATTTCTGTAGTTTTATAAGCCAATCCTGACCTGATAGGTATAAGCCTGTTTTACATTAAAACGCTCCTAATTAAATTCCAGAGTTTTCTGCAAACAAATCATAGAATAATTTGATATTGCCTTTGGGAAGAGCTATAGTCTCCTTCTGTGGTGCCATCTGTCTCTCTAAGGTTCCACTACTATCATGACTCTTATTTCCTTTTCCACACTTCTTATTACAGGCCCGGCTCCTAGTGTGCTCTGCTAATAATCAAAGAGGAATATAGCAGAAGGGATTAGTGAATAACGTAAAAATCTGCGTTATTAGCAGTGCCCCCAACTTGCCTGCAACTATGATTGTTCTAGCATAATGCAAAAATTTGGCATGCCACATTATCCCTTGACAATTTGGCCATTTACATGCCAGTCTGACCTTCCAAGTGGGAACCAAGCCAGCAAGCTCAATCTCCTACATACAGCTCCTTTATTTTACCAGGTCCGGCAATGGAAAAAATGTGGTGATGGTGATGAGACATTTGCTTAAGTGAAAAATTACCTGTGCTCATTATCGATTTCCTGCAGAAGGTAGTAAGGGCAGAGCAGGGGCTCACAAATCTTGCCTTTGTACAGTGCTGTCCATGTATGTCTGTTAGGTGTTAACCTTCCTCTTCACTGCCTCCCCCCCCCATTCTACAGCACGGTCACAGTCACTACACAGCAGATGCCAGGAAGCGTGATGCTGAAGAAGGAGTGACTGAAAAGCTGCAGAACGGAGACCTGGATCACATGATTCCCCCTCCAGGTGGCAGCGAATCTGACCTCCGACAACATCTTGGTGATGAGAAGGTTGTGGTGGGGTCCCTGGCGGTACAGGTTGGTTACATGCTCACGCACTTCTGAATGTATTTTGCAATCGTCTTGTTTATGTAAACTTCTCAAAAATGGTGACTGGTTGCTGTGGGATTTAACCAGTTACACAAAAAGCTATTTTTAAATGGTTTTGTTTGCAGTTATCTATTAGATTTCTATTTTAGCATACCATTAGCTGAAAGCTAAAAAATCGGACAGCTTGTGTGTTCCCCTCCTTTTTAATATAAATTTGGCTTTAATGCAAAATCCCATCTGTCAGTGGTACTACTTGCATATCGATTACATTTTAGTCCTTCGTTATACATCTATGTGACAGACTGCTGTAACTCAAACCGTGCACTGAGAACACGAGTTGTGGACATCAGTAAGAGTACTTTTTACAATGGCGTTCTTGTGCCAGAAGAATATACAGCAAAGGGTAATTTTAGCAAATGCTCAGTTATGATGGAAACCTATCATTTTCTCCCCCCCCCCACACAGGACCTCCCAGGTCAGCAGAGTTCTTGCTATTGGCTAAAAGGGATCCGTTACTCTGACATTGGCACGTTGGCCTGGATGATCACACTCAGCGACGGGTTACACAACTTCATAGATGGACTGGCTATTGGAGCCTCATTCACAGTTTCTGTTTTCCAGGGTGTCAGCACATCAATTGCTATCTTGTGTGAGGAGTTCCCACATGAACTCGGTAGGAATAATGCCTTCACTTGCCTTGGTTTAATTAAAATGTATATGTTTTGTATGTCTGAGAGAGGAAGGGAAGAAAACAGAAGTTTCCAGAAGGTTGGCTGAGTTTAGGATGGTACACTCTGGTGTACACTGGTGTGTTAACCACCTCCAACATTTGTATGGGGTTCATTTTGTAAAGTCACTTTGTATGCTTGTTGTAGTGTAGCGTTGGGTGTCTGTTTTTGTAAGGTAGTCCTGTTGTATTGTTATCATCCATTGGTCAGGTCCTGCTGAAGGTGTACTGTTCTGTATCTCTCTAGAGCACAGGTGTCAAACTGGCAGCCCTCCAGCTGTTGCTAAAGTTCAAGTCCCATGGGGCATTGCAAGAATGACAGTTACAAGCATGACTCCCAAAGGTAGAGGCATGATGGGACTTGTAGTTTCGCAACAGCTGGAGGGCCGCCAGTTTGTCACTCCTGCTCTAGAGCAATGGTTGTCAAATTACAAGGTATAGGGGTCCTCCAGCTGCAGCCCTTAACAGACCCAAAAGGGCCACACACAATGTTCAGGATATGTAATGCTAGAGAGGACTGGCAAAGACTGCAGTCATAAAGAGCTTGTAAGTTTAGTTGTTGATTAAAGACCTGGTGCAGAAGATGGTGAGATACTAGGAACCTGTTGCATGAGGATAGTACAGAGCCTTCTTTTAACCCCCTCCTCCCCTTTACAAATCAGTGCTCTAACTTCCACGACAGACTACTTGGGTTTGAGGGCCATCAACAAGTACCATGCATTTGGACGCTGGACACCTTGGCTGTAGAATATAATAATACTATGATCATGTAATGTTCAGCGTCCACAAAGAGAGTGTTCTAGAATTATCAGTGTCCAGTAGTCAGCTCATGTAAGAAGGTGTACTTCTGTACATTGTGATATCGAATTCAGTTATATTCAGAGGTCAAGTCCTTCTGGGTGGTATATAATCAATTATGTTTGTTACATGATAGCATTGCATGTAATCAATATAAATAGCGTGGTATGCTGTAATTGTACCATGTTCAACAAGTGACCTTTTTATCTAATAACACAAAGAACATAATAAAACCATTGCCTACATAAGCCTGCTGTAAACTTGAGAAACTTTTTAACATCACAATGTTTTTCAAAACTAAAGTTTAGTGTCCTTGTGTATGAAATTTTGTTTTTGTTTCCCATCTGAATGTGTTCATTTACAGTAACCCTCTTTGTGTTTTTGTTGCAGGTGATTTTGTCATATTGCTAAATGCCGGAATGAGCATTCCCCAGGCTCTTTTCTTTAATTTCCTGTCTGCCTGCTGCTGCTACTTGGGCTTGGCTTTTGGGATTCTGGCTGGCAGTCACTTCTCTTCCAACTGGATCTTTGGCCTGGCAGGAGGGATGTTCCTGTACATTGCACTTGCTGACATGGTGAGTACAAACAATCGGTGATCTTGTCCTGTCCTATTAGGTGCCATGGGAGACACTATTTTCTAAGAAATGTTTTGATGAATAAATAGGCGTGCAGCCAAACTTGCATTTTATCTTTAGTTATTTGGCACCTTCCTGGAATATAGTTGGTCACAACTGATTCTGTATTTTTTTCAATCGGTCCTTTTTTTTATTGACTGAACCACTGCTCACTTTTAACTAACATTTTAATATACCAAAACACTTGCAGTACCTTGAAAATATATTCATACCCCTTAAAATTTTCCACATTTTGTCATGTTACAACCAAAAACGTAAATGTATTTTATTGTGATTTTATGTGATAGACCAACACAAACTGGTTCATAATTGTGAAGTGGAAGGAAAATGATAAATCATTTTCAAAATGTTTTACAAATAAGTGAAAAGTGTGGTGTGCATTTGTATTCAGCCCCCTCGAGTCAATACTTTGTAGAACCACCTTTCGCTGCAATTACAGATGCAAGTCTTTTTGGGGATGTCTCTACCAGCTTTGCACATCTAGAGAGTGAAATTTGTGCCCATTCTTCTTTGCAAAATAGCTCAAGCTTTGTCAGATTTGGATAGAGAGCGTCTGTGAAAGGCAAGTCTTGCCACAGATTCTAAATTGGATTTAGGTCTGGACTTTGACTGGGCCATTCTAACACATGAATATGCTTTGATCTAAACCATTCATTGTAGCTCTGGCTGTAAGTTTAAGGTCGTTATCCTGCTGGAAGGTGAACCTCTGCCCCAGTCTAAAGTCTTTTGTGGACTCTAACAGGTTTTCTTCTAAAATTGCCCTGTATTTGGCTCCATCCATCTTCCCATCAACTCTGACTAGCTTCCGTGTCCCTGCTGTAGAAAAACATACCCACAACATGATGCTGCCAGCACCATGTTTCATGGTGGGGATGGTGTGTTCAGGGTGATGTGCAGTGTTAGTTTTCTGCCACACATGGCGTTTTTGCTTTTATGCCAAAAAGGTAAAGTTAAATTTTGTTCTCATCTGACCAGAGCACCTTCTTCCACATGTTTGGTGTGTCCCCCACATGGCTTTTTGCAACCTGCAAGTGGGACTTCTTTTGGCTTTCTTTCAATAATGGCTTTCTTCTTGCCACTCTTCCATAAAGGCAAGATTTGTGGAGTGCATGACTAATAGTTGTCCTGTGGACAGATTCTCCCACCTGAACTGTGGATCTCTGCAGCTCCTCCAGAGTTACCTCTTGGCTGCTTCTCTGATTAATGCTCTCCTTGCCCAGCTTGTCAGTTCAGGTGGACGGTGGTAGGTTTGCAGTTGTGCCATACTCTTTCCATTTTCGTATGATGGATTGAACAGTGCTACGTGAGATGTTCAAAGCTTGGGATATTTTTTTTTATAACCCAGCCCTGCTTTAAACTTCTCCACAACATTATCCCCAGATCTGTCTGGTGTGTTCCTTGGTCTTCATGATGCTGTTTGTTCCCTAGTGTTCTCTAACTAACAAAGTTCTGAGGGCTTCACAACAGCTGTATTTGTACTGATATTAAATTACACACAGGTGGACTCTATTTAGTAATTAGGTGACTTCTGTAGGCAATCGGTTCCACTAGATTTAGTTAGGGGTATCGGGATAAAGAGGGTTGAACACAAATGCACGCAACACTTTTCAGATCTATATTTGTAACAAAGTTTTTGAAAACCATTTACCGTATTTTTCGCCGTATAAGACGCACTTTTTCTTCCCCAAAACTGGGGGGGAAATGTCAGTGCGTCTTATGGAGTGAATATGGAGCGGCCGGTCTGGTATTTCCACCGCGGCCGTGTCAGAATACCGGGCCGGCCGCTCAGCTCTGCAGTGGGACCTTACCTGTTCCTCTATCCAGCGGCGTGCTGTCTTCCCGGCTTCTGTAGTGTGGGCACTGGGCATGACAGCCGGGTGCCAAGTGCGCATGCGCAAGAAGCGGTGCTTTTTGTGAATGGTAAGGCGGTACCCGGGATACATGACAGATCCCAGAAGCCGCCGGACCAATCACAAAGCGCAAGTGCTTCTCGCTCATGCGCACTGGGCACCCGGCTGTCATGCCGAGCGCCATTACAGAAGCCGGGAAGACAGCGCGCGGCTGGATCGAGGAACAGGTAAGATCAAACAAAAACTCTGCGGAAGTAAGAGAGGGTACCTGTCAAATTCAGGTACCCGCTACCCACCTCCCCAAAGGTCAGCAGTCATCTGTACTGTCCGCAGTCTCTGGTCATCCCTGTGCTGTCCGCAGTCTCTGGTCATCCCTGTGCTGTCCGCAGTCTCTGGTCATCCCTGTGCTGTCCGCAGTCTCTGGTCATCCCTGTGCTGTCCGCAGTCTCTGGTCATCCCTGTGCTGTCCGCAGTCTCTGGTCATCCCTGTGCTGTCCGCAGTCTCTGGTCATCCCTGTGCTGTCCGTGCTGTCAGTCTCTGGTCATCTCCTGTACTGTGTCTGCAGTCCATTAGTTCAGAATTTTTTTTTTCCTGTTTTCTGCCTCTAAAACCTAGGTGCGTCTTATGGTCAGGTGCGTCTTATACGGCGAAAAATACGGTATCATTTTCCTTCCATTTCCCAATTATGTGCCACTCTGTGTTGGTCTATCACATAAAATCCCAATAAAATACATTTAAGTTTTGGGTTGTAACATGACAAAATGTGGAATTTTTCAGGGGGTATGAATACTTTTTCAAGTATCCAACATGGTACCCAACATGTGACCTGCAAGCCATTAGGCAATAGTTAGAATGGCACCAGGGTGCTGGGCTCTCTGTGTCCCAGCACCCGGCACTGAAAGAGGGACTGTGCTGTGAGGTAAAGTTATCTCTTCCCACATTACAATTAAGTCCCAGCCTGTGGAGAGAGAATGGTTCAGGAGTGTGCGATTAGACAACTTTCACTGCCAAAATCAGTGGGGGAGGGGGTTGACTTTGACACTGACCACTAATGCAGTGGGAATTCTATTTCAGTGGTGGGGGAAGTTTGTGTTCATTAACACCAATGCTGGAGGATATTATTGCCCCCACTGACACCACTGTAGCACCCCTCCTGCATGGGGGTAGAGGAGTGGACTCTCCTCCAGCTGGGAGTAGGCTACCATTTACCCCAGGGTGGATCCATGGCAACAGTAGAGAACTTCACTTGACAATTAAGGGTGCCAGTCACTGTATTCTTTTCCTGTTTAATTTCTCCAGCTTCAGGTTGCAAGGGTTAGGGTTAGGTCTCCACTAGCAACCAGGGATCCAGATTCCATCAAACCAAGAGTGCCAGGCTCCTCTGAGGGTGGACACCAATCCCCATTCAGCAGGAAATCCTTCAGGCTCTGCCACCTTGAAAGTCATACCTTCCTCAACCAGGCAAGGTAGCTTGAAGAACTCTGTGCTAGGCCCATACAGACCCATTCAGACCCCAGGCCTGCAACGCAAACACTTTGTGCACACACCTCCCCAAGCTGCATCTTGGGGAAAAAAGAACTCACCAGGACACTCCCCAAGCTTATACCCTCCCCTAACATACACCACTGGCATAAACCTCTTAGTGATAGCCAGAGTAGACATAAAGGCTCAATAGCACAAGATTGGCTACAGTCCCATAACGATTGCCCTGCGTGGCAGTGACACCCAGGGGCAGCTGTAGGGTACTGCATCATTCCTAATTGTAGGGGATAAACCAAATGAGAAAAATTGCAAATTGTCTTAGGAAAACTACTACCCAGGAGAGCTAAAGATACTAGACACCACTGAATGACAGGGTGGCTACACCAATGCTGGGGGTTATTTTTGCATCCAGTGATACCAATGCTAGGGGTTATTTATTGTGTCCGCTGATGCAAGTTCTGGAGGTTATTACTGACACCAATGCTGGTGGTTATTTTATGTCTGTGTGCATTGCAATATGCTACAAAAAATACCACAGAATTGAATTTTCTTGGGTGTTGATTCGCACTCTTTCCTCTTCCTCATTTGTTTAGTGTTGAATATTGTCTGCGGGGAATAAACTGGAGTTTTATTGGAAATTAATCTTCAGGCTATAACCTGTATAGATGGCATAAATGTGTGCTTGCCCATGGTTTATAACATATTAGTTAATAAAAATTAATCAGCCTTAAAAATTCTCAAGTGCATGTAATAGATGAGTATGATGATGATGAGTATGACTATGTAATTTTGTACTGGTTCTACTTCAGCAGGGTATATAACTGCTATGGGTTACTGCAATAAAGAATTGGCAAGGACTCCCTTAAAAAGGCTGAATTTCATTGTTAGAGAGAATTTCTGTTTTGATATTCTGCTTGGTATTGCTACAAAATGGTTGCACTGTGCAATAATGAAAGTGTATGGGTTTGTAGACCCACTGAAAACCATGCACTCCATGTGTGGTTGACACCTCCTTTTATCAGTCCTTAAAGCTAAACTCCAGGCAGATATAAAAGATGCAAAGTAATATACTTCTGTATTCCTTTAATCATTTAGAAGCATTTTTAAATACCAACAGTGTAACTGCCCAAATTTGACCTGGTATCAACATCTTGCAGTTCCCTATAGAGCAGACCTCAGACTGAAAGAAGCAGTACAAAGTGCCTGTCAGTTGTGCTGCAGTGCTCATGTACTAACAAGGAACATGCTCATAGGGGGGGAAGTGCAGATTTAGTCAGTCTACAGCTTCTCATTTACTGCTCACTTCTACTTTCTAAATTTATTGTATTTTAATCTAGCTGTGCATAGAACAGATAGTTACTTTGTACATAAAAGCCAACAAAAAAATGTTTAGTCATTCAACTTCATGTTTTGTCATAATAGTCCAACTATGCCTAGGATGAGTTGTTACTCTGCGTGTGAAACCCAACAAAAAAGGTTCATTTGAGCTGAAATTGTTTTTTGTCAGCTACTGTATAGGAACATAAATAATTTCATAAAAGCTCTCAGCTTACTGGGCACACAGCTCCACCTACTGGCTGAATTGAGGTATTTCAGGACTTCCTGTGGAAACTACATGAATAATCTGTTTCACAAGAGGACCATTCAGTCCGCTCCTGAAGGCCATGGTGCTTAGAGTGATTTACAGTTTAAATACCCTACGTCTTAGGTCTCTGCAGGATATGGCCTGAGGGAGAACAACGTGGCTATTTATTATTTATGTATAAGCTACAGCAAAGCAAAAATTAGGTGAGACTCCTCGCAAGCAATCTGGTTTTCAGCTCTCACTCATAATGCAGACTGGATACTAAAAGCTGACAATTGATGGTGGTTTTCCTTTTTTTGCTGAAGTGATTTTGCTGTATGGAAGGTGCAGTAGCACGGCACTGCCTGGACTCGCTGTAATGTGGTCACACTTCTAGAAAGTGTTACTATGAATGTTGAACTTGTTAAATTCAGATTGCCAAAAGAAACTGCACTGTTTGCTGTAGTTATTGTAAAGGAGATTAGATTTTTTTTTTTTCTTTGGCACCAGGTGTGTCGTGCATTTTTTAGTGCAAGCACAATTCATAAACCTGAGAAATGTCATTGTTTTTTTTTTTTTAATATTATTATAATACAGTATTTATAAAGCGCCAACAGTTCGCTCAGCGCTGTACATTACAAAAGGGGACAGAACATGTGACAGTACAGTAACAATACAATGCAAAACACGAGGAGTTCGAGGGACCTGCTCTTTCGAGCTTACAATCTAGGAGGGAGGGGATAGTGGTACAGGAGGAGAAAGATGTGGGGGATGGAGTGGTAGGAAGAGTGGAGGAGGTCAGCAAATTAGCAGGGGGTGGGGTAGGCTTCCCTGAAGAGGTGGGTTTGTTTTTTTCAGGGTGCGCCTAAATGAGAGGAGAGTAGGTGATAGTCTGATGGGTTGGGGCAGGGAGTTCCAGAGGATGGGTGACACCCTGGAGGCAGGCATGGGAGAAGGAGACCAGGGAACTAGAGAGAAGGAGGTCTTGTGAGGAGCGGAGTGTGCGTGCTGGGCGGTACTTGGATATTACGTCAGTGATGTAATTTGTGGCAGTATGGTGGACAGCTTTGTATGTCAGTGTTAGGATTTTGAATTTGATCCATTGTGCAATCGGAAGCCAGTGGAGGGATTGGCAGAGGCGGGTGGCGGAAATGGAGCGGTTGGTAAGGTGAATGTGTCTGGTTGCCGTATTCGGGATCGACTGAAGTGGGGATAGCCTGTGGCGAGGCAGGCCAGTGAGGAGGGAGTTGCAGTAGTCGAGTTGTGATATGATGAGGGAGTGGATGAGCTGTTTAGTGGTTTCTGGGGTTAGGAATGTGCAAATTTGGCAATGTTGCGGAGGTGGAGTCTGCATGAGTTTGTTAATGATTGGACTTGGGGCTGGAAGGATAGGTTGGAGTCCAGAATGACACCCAAGTACTCTGGCCTGCGGGGCGGGTCTGATAGTGGCATTGTTGGACATGATGGGGAAGTCATTTGGGGGGGGACGCGGGTTGCGGGGAAGATTAGGAGCTGTTTTGGAGAGGTTCAGTTTAAGGAAGTGGAGCGACATCCAGTCTGATATGTCGTTCAGTAGGTTTGTGATTCGGACGGAGACTGAGGGGGTGAGGTGGGGGGTTGAGAAATTTGTGTGTCGTCGGCATAGAGGTGGTAGTTGAAGCCATGAGAGTGTATGAGTTGGCCAAGGGAGGACATGTAGATGGAGAAGAGAAGGGGCCCGAGGACGGAGCCTGGCTTTTTAAGTATGGGGGTGATGTGTGCATGCTTCAGAGGGGAGGGGAATGCGCCGGAAGAGAGGGAGAGATTAAAGATTGTTGCCAGTGTGTTTCACAGGTATACTGTATTGTTGGGGTGCTTGTCTGCTTTTTTTTTTTTTTTTTCTTCCCCCATTTAAAAAACGGTTTTTCACTCCATAAAAGCAAAGAGAAAGGAGAAGGTATGTATAGCTGGAAAGGGTAGCAGGTTAAGGTAAATTGATAGTAAACCCTTACATGTACCTAGTGAAAGTGGGTGCAGAGTTACTCTGCAGAGCTCAGTGAGGAGAGCTGATTGGAGGGAAGAGACAGACACGCACCCCTACACACACCCAATCCTGTCAATCTGCTGGCCCTCCCCTGTCACCATTTTTCTCTTGGTGTCAGGAATACTTGTCAGAAGTGATTCATGCTGATAGCAGAGGAATGAAGCAGCAGAAATTCCCTGACACTTTGTGCTCTTAATTGAGACACGTATGCACAATAAAAGGATATGCTGTGCTCATATTTCATGTCTGAGGTTTACATCCACTTTAACCTATTACTTTATCCTGCCTATGGCCAGGCTAGCTGATAGCTGTACATAAGCTATAAGACTCATGCACAAGGTCATACTTAATTTACTGATATCTATACAGGATCTTGCTAGCTGCAAGATTCTACATTTTAAAACACACACACAGCACACACTACCCCACTATATCTGTCTGGATCCGGGAATGGAAAGGAACCAAAAAAAACAAAATGGTGTGCAAAACCATGTGAAAACTATTCTGTAACTGAATATATCTGTGCTGAACAAAAATATTTCTACTGTGTTAACTTCAATAAAAAAAAAATCACTAATTATGCAAATATGAAGTACCATTTAAAGTTAACTCATACAATTGTTCATAAAACTTTTATGTGAAAAATAAAGTCCACACCCAGTGTCCACAAATAGGCCAAAGGTCTGCTAATGCATGGTATGAAATCAAGCATTCGGTGCTCCCAAGTTTCCAGGCCACCAAAAGTGCCAACGTCTTACTAGAAATATATGACTTATGATATATGTGAGATCAAATGCACTTGTGAAAAGACACACTGTATGAAACCTGACGGGTTATAACCTTCCCTTTTACTCTATCCTACTCTAATGAAAAAAATTGTTTAGTTCTACTTTAAGAGAAAGCTTTGAACCCTGTCAACCTGTTGTCAGAATCCATCTTGATGTGTGTTTTTTTTTTTTTTTTCCTAGTTCCCTGAGATGAATGAAGTCAGCAAGGAGGATGAGGAAGGCGATCGACCCCTTACAGCTTTTCTCATACAGAATGCTGGCCTTCTCACTGGCTTCGCCATTATGCTGCTACTTACAACGTTCTCTAGTCAGATCCAGCTAGGATAGCCTGGGTGACATAGAGGCTGAAAAGTCCTTGATATGACATCTTTATTTTTGTTTCAAGGGCAGAAGAATGATGACCTAAATGTGACCAAAGAGAGATGGATGTTTATGGCAACATTCTTTTCTCATATGTATGGAGGGAAAGCACCAGATATTGGCGTATGGTGATACAACTGACTCCACCCCACAGAGAAGTAACCTTTTTAAAAAATGTATACAGGTTATTCTAGCCATCTTGCCTATGAAGGTTCTGCAGGCAAATACAGACCTACCAGTCCTGTGTCACATTGTCCTATACATGCCAAGCAAGTTCCTGATTTTGGACATCATGATGTATTGATTATTTGAACCTCTTGCCGATTTTCTCCATCCAGCGTGTCATTGCCTGCGCCAATATTAGTCCGCTCTCCAGTTTCAACAGTCTCTGTAATGGAGATGACACTGTATTTCAAAGACTGTTTTTAGAGAGTTTATCATATTGATAAGTGGTTTATATTCCTCCAGTAAATGGACCAAATCAACTAAACAAAAGTTGGGGTAAAATATTTTTCCCCCGTACACCCTCTAAAAAGGCAAATGATCTCATCCGCCACCCGAACTCTGCTGAACAGTACTTCATAATTTTTTTTTCATAAACTGTTCCGTTACCATTTACCTGGCAGTGTATTTGCATTGGTTCCCCGCTGATAAACTGACCGAGAAGTACCAAGCCTTGGCTGAGGACATCTGTCCAACACTGACCAGCCCCCTGGTTCCTCCATGCTGCTGCTTCCTTGACACCCAATAGTGTTTTGATTTATCTTGATGTACAAGAGGGGAAGAGAAACCGAGAAGCTGATCTGTATGTGTGATACACTGCCTGCAGTGCAATAATCCCAGACGGCAATAGAACTCTCTTGAATAGCACACTTATTAACGTCAGAGACTGGCCAGCATCGGCATTTGATTTGCACACTGACACTGTGCTTGCGAGCACTCGTGTGTATGTATGACTTGATATTATATTTAATAACTGGGAATATTACAAGCCCAGCATTAGAACTCTAGAACATGTTAGATTAGCACAGCTAAGGAATGTACAATGGATGTTTGCTTTTGTTGCTAAAGTAGCCTAGTCCAGTTCTCCCCTCTTTTACTGCCACTGTTCCCTTCACAAAGTCTATTTTCCTAGAGAGGAACTCCAGGAAATAGCACTTGCATTATGATCTCTTGCTCTCTCCTCTTCCAACCATGTGACAAGACAGCACATATGAAAAACTGTTTGGTACAGTATAGGTGGACATTCTAAGACTAACCATGCACCTTTTATAATTTCTCTTGTTCTGCCCTGCAGACTGAATGAGATAAATCAATTTATATTGCTATCCATGCGAAACTGTGTGGATGGAGGAATCTTCCCTGCCAGCTGTTGTATTCTGACAGCCACTGCACCCCTGGCTGTCGGTATAGTCCAAAGTAACTGCATCTGATTGGCTGCATTCACTGTTCGGCTGAGAATTTTTTCCACCTGGCTCCTTCGATTTTCAGGCTGAAATTTGTTGATCCAGGTGATGTCAACGGGGCCATCCACAGCAGCTCGTGCTTTAAAGAAGAATCCTAGTAAAAAGTCACGGAAAGCTGGTAACCTCTACAGTGCCTGTTCCTGTCCATGTGCACAATTATATCCACATAAGTGTGAGACTAATATGTTCTAAGCCTGTAAATAATTTCTCTAAAAATATTCAGCTTTGTTTCCTAATATATGCATGGCCTGACCAAACATTTTCACCATCTATGACCTCCCCCACTAATTTTAGAAGCAAATACAAGTTGTCTCCACTATTATGCTGGGTACAAACTATATTTTTTTTTTTTTATTGTTCAGCCCAGGGGGCTGGAAAAAAAAAACTACAGATCACTGTACTGACACATCCGATGTTATTGCAACGATCTCCTCTCTGAGTTGTGTTCTGATGGGACCACCCTCCACCAGAACACCATTGGCTGCCAGCGCTGATTGGATGCTGGTTTTCCTGCATGCATGATGGACAGAAGACAGTTGAGGAGCTGTACACATGGGTTGAGAGTCAGACAGTTTTTGCCGAACTGTCCATTTTCAGCCTGTGTGTATCCAGCTTAAGACTCTATCCACAATAGGGAGAGTCACCCTTTCAGTTTCTTTGTTACCACTGAGATTGAACATAATGGAAAACCCAGCCTTTGCAGTTGCCACTAGGTCAGAAATTGTGAATGAATCTTCCAGTAAGCTCACTTATTTTGGCACTAATAGTCTAAGAAGGAAAAGCCCTTTGGAGAGATTTCTTCCCACTTCCTGTTCTGGCTATAGAACAGGAAGTAAAGGATAATCTTAGTGGGACAGATAGATTCAAATAAAAGTTAAACCATTCCATACTCTACAAAACAAGGATTACATTTTGATTGTATACAGGTGTTCGCCATTATATAAACTACATTTAAAATGTTTGGATTTTCCTTGAACTTTGTTTTAATGGAAAATCTATTTTAAAAATATAGGGGGGGGGGACTGCAATGTCTCAATTCACCTATCTTGGGAGAGGGAGAATCTGCCCATCTGCAGGAACAGAAAACAAAGTTTACGTTGTCCTTGCAGCATATTTTTTTTTATGTCATTTTTTTTTCCCCTTCCTCTTCAAAAGGGTGAAGGGGTGAAGTCTGAGTGACACAGAATTTCATTATGGTTAACCTGGATCTCTTGTGGTCTCTCATGGTGATGCTATGTTGGTGTTTACATGGGAATCCAGGTAGCAGTAGAAGTTATGCCTTTTGTTGATGCCTGTAGTTGGTATAGAGTAATGTCCCACCGCCTGTGGCAGTACAATAAGGGAGCACTCTGCATTGGATTCTCTTCTTCCTCTGAAACTCCCCATCTCTCAGGTTCTGATAATAAAAAACCTTTTAAAAACATTTATGTGTTGTTTCTGAGCCATGATGTTGTGAATAGTCTGGTTTGCAGGTATACACATTGAAAATGATAATGCTGGCTGAAGCTCAGGGCAATATCACCGAAGAGCCTTGGGCTATGTAGCTTAAAATGTTACTAAACCCACAACAGTAAAATCAGTCTGTATATTCAGTAAAGTATGCTTGTTATATTCACTGTGGAACCTAAGCGGTTAATCTTCTGCATTGTGTAAAAATGCTGTTTGACCCACAACTTTGATCTTTGCCTTCTTCCAGTGTCTCCCTCTTATCTCCTGATAAGACATATCATGTGGAGACACTCTGCACATGCTCAGTTTGGTGTGTATTGCTACAGATGTTTTTCTTTCTCTTGTCTTGGGAGAGTGCATGTGATCAGCGCAGGGCAATCTGCACTGTCCAGACTGAGGTCAGGGGTTCTGCAGCCTTGTAAAGCAGAGAACTCCTACAAGCTTTTAACCAGTGCTCTGCTGAACACTGATAAGTCACAAGACTGCTCCAACTGCTGATGGGAAAAGGTATTTAGCAGTTTATATTTACTAAAATAACTGCATTTCTGTGTACTGTGGGAGACCAGATGGAGTGAATGCAGGGTCCTGGGTTTAGTAACACTTTGAGCTAGCCATGCATTGCTCAAATTGTGGTTGAATCGGCTGAAATGTGAGCCATGAAGGACCATATTTGGCACCACCTGGTTTGACAAGTCTGATCAAAGTGGAAGAGTATCAGCTGAATAGTGACTACATTCTATCAAATGCAGTCACTTTTTGGGTATTCAGACAACTGCAGGAGCTAGTGCTGCCTGAAAGTGGAACTATAAAGCCTCCTATCCTTTTAGGCTGCCTTCACACTGATCCATTTTTCTTACGCTTTTGCTGAAGAAAAACGCTTGACCATGTATTCCTATGGAACTTTTCACACTAATCCTTTGAGGGTCTGGTGTATTTTAAAAAATCCCCTTGAAATCAATGGAAAACGAGGCAAAAATGCTGGGCATTGCTTTTTTTTTTTGGTGTGGTTTTTGAGTCGAATGTCCGGTAAAAACAAATGCACCTCAAACATGGTAAAAATGTGTTCTGCTGCAAAAATGCATGTGTTTTTGGCAGTGTGAAAGTATCCTAACAGCCAAGATGGATTCCATCTTAAACTAAAGCTTTAATGTTGGCTGGAGTTAAGTTTTAAAGGAAAATTGTATTGAGAGAAATACAGGAGCATGCTGTGTGCTAATCGTTACTAAACAGTTGGACCAAAATGAGGATCAATGAGCTAGGTTAACAATGGTGCCACACTTAGTACATGTTTCTGTGAATAACTGGGCACTGTAGTGTATAGCCAGGAGCAGACAGTGGATAGAATCCTTTCTGTTTTTCTGTCTCAATGGCAATGGTCACCAGAACAGTGAGAAGAAGTCCATTTTACATTTCTCACCAAAACAAGATGAGTGGGGAAATATTACAATAGGGTCGACAACTAAGAATGGAATTCCTCTCACTACCTGCTGTCTCTGGGACAGGCAGTAAAGGGAAATCCCTGTAATGGGACACGGGGAGATTTAATAAAACTGGTGCACTCAGAATTTAGTGCAGCTGTGCATGGTAGTCAATCAGCTGCTAACTTCAGCTTGTTCTATAAAGCTTTGACAATAAAACCTGGAAACTGATTGGTTTCTGTGTAGAGCTGCACCAGACTTTGCACTCTCCAGTGTTGGTAAATAACCCCCACAGGCTGTAAATAATATGTGGGATGGTTTTAATTCTACTGTATCCAAAACAAATCTACAAATAGACACAACAAATGGTTATAGATACACTTTCATTTAGCTGCACCTATCATTTGAGAATTCCAGATGGGTATGGTTTGCAATGGTAATCCCGAGCCAGTGCAGTTCAGAATTCCTTCACAAGATTTATGGAGGTTTCCCTGATAGGGCCCAGGGGAGGGGGGTGGGGTGGTATTTATTACGTTGTGGGATTGATTTACTAACACTGGAGAGCTGCAAAATCTGGTGCAGCTCTGCATACAAACCAACCAGCTTCCAGGTTTATTGTCAAAGCTCAATTGAA